GTCTGCTCTAGTCGCGGTAGAACTTACGCGAGCAAACTAACATTTACATGTTGAACTTCGGGGTGGGTTGCGAGAACTCGAGACATGAATGAAAAGTGCGCCGTTGTTACGGTGGATGTAAAATCATGCGAAAATAGAATCTCGACCCGCAGCGAGGGAAGAGAAGATACAGGAAGAAGTCGCGGATCTACATGCGACAACAAGTGCGCGACACTCGAAGTTACGAGGATGCGCTTTAGGCGTTAAAGGGATTACCTTGCAGAACTGCGGTTGTAAAAACGCATGAAATATACTAATCGAGCTACTTTTCTAGGGGTTTTAATTATGCTCTATAACCATCGTGGCAACCTCTCGTAAAATGCGAGGCAAAATCGCCATAAATGCACGCGTGACTGAAATATGGCGCAGTAATCTTTATGAGACGTTGTTACTTGTCAGTTACCACTGAGAAGAATGATGACCCACACTATTACACCACACCCCGCTATACATTTATTTATTAATAACAAGCTACACAAATCATGCGATCGCTACTCAATTGTAGCACGGTGGCGTTTATTAACAGTGCCGACACTATGGAGAGAGATTTTCTTTTTGTATCTCTAAAAATATAATCTGAAATCGGATATCACTTTTTTAAAAATCTGTGAAGAAAAAATAAAATATTTTATTAAGTTATTAAGAATATATAATTATCAAATATATCAAATTAACGATTTATTGTTCGCGCGTAATTAATATCTTCTTTTGGCACAATCTAAAATGCAGTATATAAGTAGTAATCGCGATAGAATGGGACGAAATGAGCGAAAAATATCTCGCGGCTATACATTTATCCGCTCCTTTACGGAAAAGTTTCGAATACGAATATAATGAGGTCACCGATTCTGTAATGCGCCGAATCGAAAATTCTTTAACTAAACTGCACTTTAATTTCAAAGTCCGGAGCTTTGCCTCGGTATCCCAATTCCTCTCTCTCTACCTTCCTAATTACCTGTTCTGCTATAATCGCGAGGCACTATTTATTCGTCGGGCAAGATCCTCGTTGGGAATCGCGCAGTAAATTCCCGCCTTCCGACGTGTGTACCAGCGGATTCTGCCGGTTGATTGCAAATTAGAACACGAACGGGCGCGTAAGCTTATCGAGCAATACGAATGCGCATCCGAGTCTAAGTGCTCGCCAGAAGGAAGTTATGCCCTTCGATATGGAGCAATATGGAACAAACGGTGCAGTAAGTTTATTGATGCGAAGAAAACTATATTTTTATATAATTTAACTATATCATGACGGAAATTATGCGGAAAAATGGAGATAAATATGAAATAATTAATTACTATAAAAATAATATGAATCAGTAATGGGTGTACACTTGTATAAAATTAAGTATAAAATTTACGTTCATCTTTTTGACTTATCATTTTTTTCCGATTAATATTTTTTATTAAATAAAAACCTCGATTACATATTAACCATTACATCTATTTGGTAAAGTATACAATAACCGTGATATTGAGTATAAAAAAATATTTAATTTTTGATCATTTTATGTTACATAAAATGAAATTATCAGTGAATTATCAGTAAATATAATACCTTACTTATTAAGAATTTTTACTATCTTTACCTTAGAAAGGATAATACTATTAGTATTAAATTACATATAATAATAGAATAAAAAAAGTTTAAAGCAAAGTTGAAACATAATGAGGGAGAAATGTATGCGAATATGATGTTTTATATTAATAAATGCAAATTTTTATATAAGCATCTTCCTTGCATTTATTTTATTATTTTACATTCAATATCTGTTTGATACATTTCATTATTCTTTATAAATTTGTAATATTTATATTCGCGGCTTTGCGCGCGATCATAGAGCAGGAACCATAAAAACGAAAATCGCCTTCCGCGATTATTACCTTAATTCGCACACTCGCGCGCTTTTCTAAAATAATATGTAAATTTAATAGCTCGCGCCGCGACAGGTAAAGCTTAGAGCATTACAAGAACCCGCGCATTAAATACCTACGGAATCGTACAGCTTCTTGCGAAGCGTCGTAAGAGGACACGGGCGGAGAAAAGAGGGTGAAAGGGCGAGGCGGTTATTAAGTTAGTCTCGGGAATTCCTGAGCGAGCGTGTACGTACAAATTATACGATCTACCATATCGTGTGTGCGATGCTCCGCGCAACGAACCAAGTGGCCGCCGTGAAGAGACGAAGGCGAAAACGAAGATGAAGTTGCCGAAGACGAGACGACGATGGCGACCGGGTACGCGAACGAAGACGAAGGGGTAGGAGGAGGCAGAGATTACGACAAAAGATGACGATGACCACGGATGAGCGGTCCGGTCAGGGTGAAAGTAATAACAGTGAAACACACGCGCACGCGTTGAAATCGCGCACAGAGCCGGTGCCGAGCGACGTGTACGTGACTGGTGCTTAAGCCATTTTTCGATACGACCGGTACTTAGATGCACGCCGGACTTGAGTCGCCCGCTGGGCTCTCCCGGTGAAGCCACCACCAAAGATACCGCGTCCTTGAAGAAACTCGAGGACGTCGAAGAAGAGGGACGGTCGATCGTCGCGATGACAGAGAGAAGCGCGCGGGAAGAAAGATAATTATGGAATGATAATTGTAGAACGAACGTTTACGATCTCCCATAAGATTCTCGAAGGCAATCGTCGTTGGACTTCTTGCGGATACAACAGTATAATTAAAAACACAACACCGCTTTCCTTTCGGCGCTTACTTTTATTGCCGTGAAGAACAGCGACAATCTTCAGAGTATTTTTACTTTACAATAAAATTGCGGAATAGATTCACTTGTACAAATTAATAAATGAAAATTGATATGTATATATTTGAGTTAAAGCAAAATGTTAGAAATTAATTTAGGTGCTTTTCTGATGCAAAATATTCTGCATAATATTGAGAAATCATTCTCAATCATCTAAATTTGAAAACATATTAGTGTTGGCGTATACGATGTCATAATTATGAACTATTAAATCGTTTACGTTTGTAAACGTTCCAACATGAGCGTAATAACTAATTGCTGCTACTGGGAACGTGATAGTATGATTGGTACGAAGCACGACATGTTTCAATTGAGAATAATTAAACGTTATCGCCATTTAACGACCACGTAGGAATTATTTCTCACCAATATTACGACTTTCATCCTTTTAATCTGACCGACAATATTTTTTAATTTGTGGTTATTAATAAAGTATCAGTGAAAAATTGTTATTTCCCCAAACAATAACAAATGTAAACAAAATAAGTTTTATATGTATAAATTTACACACACATTAAAATATCTAATGTTTATGTTAAAAATTTTATTGATGAAATCTCTTGAATACAAAAAGCTAACGTTTCAATATATAACGTTTCAATTGTTAGCTATCACAAAGAGATGCCCAGAAATTGTTAACCGCGCTCGCTATTGATTTACGAAATATCATATTTAACCATTCCTGCTCGTAATAGCATAATTGACGTTTTTAGACTTCAAAACATATCGATTTTCTGCACCTCGACAGCAAGAGCGATCCTTACACCGCATTCCCCGTGAGATACCACCGATTAACGCGTCCATCAACTACGTGGCTCGTGTAGGTGAAAGGGCGCTGAAAGCACGCGGACGAGATACGTTGCTCTGCCTACCCACTTTCATTTCTCGCTGCATCTGCAGCGCGTTCTTTCTCTTTCCACGGGATTTTTGTGTCCTTCCGAGAGGCGGTAAACGAGTCATTCGGTCATTCGGAGTGACATATTCAATGGCGAGAGCCGACGTAGATGCCGGCAAGAGTTGAAAGTATTCAGGGAGCCGTATAAATTCGCAATATCACAAAGTCTTCCGGTGGATGTATAGATACGAGCGAATATGTGTACGTAAATATACAGCGCAAAAGTTGGAGAGGAAATCGGGTCACGTCGAAATATTTTCTTAGATCCCCTCTAGTCTCCTCTCACTGCAAATTTTTTTCTTCGTGTGCATGAATATACACACATACATCTGTGTGTGTGTGTGTGTGTGTGTGTGTGTGTGTGTGTGTGTGTGTGTGTGTATACATGTGCTACGTGTGGTGGACCAGAGGACCGAAGTACTTCAGGAACTTTTCGTGTCAGGAGGGTATGCAGAGCACTCGAAGGTGCCTCCTAAAATTACGGGCGCTTTAGTGCTCCAGCGAGCGAATTTAAACGAGAAATTCGCATCCATCAAACGGGTCAAAACGTATTTCGTGAGAAAAAAAGGGAGCAGAGAGAAATAAATTATAACGACGATACACCAAAATAGAACGTGCGAAGGGCAACAGCGGGCTAACACTATCGATTTTGTGACCGCAAATAAAGTCGCGCGCTGGTGCGGTCGAGAAATGTCGTCGCAAATGCGGCAGGATTGCAAAAAAATAATCTCTAGATCATCCCCGGCCATTGACAATAGAAAATTATTAAAGCGATTAGGATCATAAATTTAATTGTGCATTTATACATGCAAGACCTGCATGGATTTTGATATAATAATATAATATAAAAATGAGAAAACATAGATTACGAAATAAAAAGAAACTATAACAAAAAGGCCACAATAAGATAAGCTCTGCTTTATGAAGGTTCAATGCAGCAGTGTCTGTCTTTAATATCTCAGATTAGTCTTTTGTAAATCAATATTCGAGATATACTATAATATCGGGAATAATAATTTTAATAAACATATTTTTTCATCATTAGCAAGCGTAGACCATTAAGTCATATGAAATTTAATAGGTTTTTTTTAGAACATCCATTTTATAATGATCCGAGCCTTATATCGATATTGCACATTCCAATCTACATAAAAGAAGATTGCGATTTTTTATCTCTAGGGCGGAAAATTAAATATTTAGTCAAGAATATATAAATATGCAGACTATAAAGATAATAAAATTTAATTTAATTTTTCGAACTTTTAGTTACGGATAATAATCAATTAATAGGAAATTTCTACTTACGTATGTCCCTTTAGTATTGTTTCGATCATATTCGTCGCTATAGACCAGATAAAGACGGAACCGTCTGCGGAACCAACCGCTATGTATTGCCCGTCAGGACTGAAAGCAGCTCTTGTCCAATCGAATCCCACTTTGAAACCGTCAGCGCTGTAAAATAAAATAAAAATATAATGATTTACTACTTTTAATATTCTGGTCGCGTATATCTGCGATAAGTACACACACAACCCACCTGAACGACCCAACAATCTTCTTCATTCGTAGATCAATCAATTTCACCGTGTCATCCCTCACACAACTCAAAAGGTAATTTGCGTCTGAAATCAAATAGATGCCTTTATGATTCACGATCGTCTATGATTGAATAATATTTAAATTGTTTGCGTAAATGTTTGCGGAGTTACAACTTTAGCCATATAAATATTTCCTACATATTGGACATGTTTTCGTACATATTGTAATTGTTTGTTGATAAAAGTGTATCTATCGAATATACAAATAATGCAACAATCTTATTTTTAGGCGCCGGAAAATTTAATACAATGCAATAAACTTATATTAATCATGAATCGAAATAATTCACTTGTAATAATCTTCTTTTATAGCATATCGATCTGAAGAAAAAATATTTGAGTTCAAAATTTTTTTTAAACGAATGTATAATTGATAAACGACGAAAAATATACCAGAGAACCGCGCGATATATTTGCTTAACTGTAAAAATGAAAAATCGCGCGGAGTAATACTGTTTCATTTGAATTCATTGAATTTGCATTCTGACAATACTGAGAATTAATGAAACGCAATAGAACAATCCGTATGAAATGTTCTTGAATGAATAAAGTGCACTTGCACTTGATATAAGTGTTTTGAAAATGTTGAATTGTTGCGCACGAACCAATTTATTCGCATCATTAGGATGTTACGATAAAAAGTAAAAACAAAATAACATTGTTTGCGTAACGAAATTCTCTCGAATAAAATGCTTCGTGTAGTATAGCTGCTGTAAAATGCCAATTAGTATTTTTCTTCGCCTCATTAATTGTTAAACAGACAGACACAGGTTACAGATAAATATCCTATAATAACAATATAAGATTTGGTATCAATTAGAAAAAATAAAATTTTGTTTCTCAATGTTTGAATTCATGTTGTTTGTTTCATTTATAGGACTATGGTGAAATAATTATAAACTTGATAAATAATATGAGATAATTAAATTCGCACGAATTCTATAATATTCTATAATAATCAAGATATCTATATACTTTAATATCAAATTACAAAAATCTATAATTTTACAATCGTAATTAATGTATTGTTTTTCTTTTCAAGTAAAATATAAATAGAAACGTAATAATATGAGAGATGTAATAATATAAATCATTATTAATTTAATTTACATAAAAATCATGATTCCCATTCTTTGCAAAATAAATAAAATAAGCAATATAAATAAAATATGATGTTCGATATTAACGCTTTCATGGCAATATCGGCGCGATATTTCTATTATATACTTACTCGAGTTAAATACCAATAATAAAAGAAAATAATCAGGTGTTCCTCCATATATCTAACATACCTTAATCGATATTGTAAAATGCGCAAGCAAATTGCACATAATTACATAACATGGAATCAATATTTTACTTTAATATATTATATGTAGTGAACGTAATTTCCTATTACAGTTTGTATTAAATATCTTTACAGAATATATAATGTACTACATTTATTTCAACTTTGGTGATATTTAAATTTTGTAATAAAACAAAAAATTTTCTTTAGAGGGGATAAATATGTCTAATATTAAACAAAGTCTTCAATTAATTCTATTTATTCAATATAAATAAACTGGTTGATATTTTGCTTTTTTTGCTGCAGTTTTGTAATTGTTTTGCTTTACTTTTTATTAAAGTACGAACTCTGTAATTTGATTTAACCTTACTCACCACGGGATAAATCTAAGGATGTAACTTTTCCTTCTAGTAGAATGTCATTTGAACTGGATTCAGCTCTCGTATCCCAAAACCTGATTCTTTGATCAAAATGGCCACTGATTATTGTAGAACCAGCACCGTCTGAAGTTACGAGATCATTGCAACTAGATCCAGCAAATTTTGTCTCTATACCTGCACAACATAAAATTTCTTATCTTTAAAAGATGCATTTATATAAATTTATATAAGATTATATAGCAATTAAATTGCATTTTTGCTTTTGTTATATTATTTTTATACTATTTTATTAAAGAGAATAATAAGAGAAAAAGATATTCTTAAAAAGAAATAACAATAATAATAATAAATTTTCTTTTTATTTAAGTAAAAAGAATCGATAATTTTATATATGCATAAATTGTGTAGATATTTCGAAGAGATAGTGCTTCAATACATATAACAGTAATCAATAAATATTGTAATGAATGTCAATGAGATAAAATTTATTGTCTTCATGCGATTAAAACTTAAATTACTATAAAGTGTAATAATCTATCATATACTTATACATCATCTTATTTAATTATATTCAAAACGCGTTCGTGCGTTACCATAAAAAAATCCTGATACATTTTTGTTCATACTAAATACAATCTTTTAATGCGCAAGCTTTCAAATGTAAAATTCGCTTTTCAAGGATAACAGTATGATCGAATTAAATGCATGCAGAAAGCTTTCTGCATTTAATTTGAGCATTCCACGGGAGTAATAGAATTACGTCCTCCCGAATTGCATATACGCGCGCCGACTTTAAGCGGAGCGAGTTAACAATTGTATCGAATGTGAATCACGGCTGGTTTCCCCTTTCAAATTGTAGTTGTACCTAGCAGCAGCTCTCATCGATCTCCACGCTGAAATAAGCAGGATTTCAAACTTAATTTACGTCGGGAAATGACGTTCGCATCGCCATGTTTCCGCGAATCTCTTGGAAATCACTAGCGCGCGATGCGGAAACACCCGGCATCAAGACTGGAAACAGGATAAATTACGAGTTTTCCGCTTACGATCGTCTCTTACCGCCCCTCTAGTCTACCTTTCCTTAACCTCGCCTTTGTGCGATTACGAATCCGTGCGCTAGTTTCAATTTTACTTCATCCTGGCTCCGCGTTAAATCAAATGTGATTTACCGCTCGATCGATTAGTCCGTCGAAGTTTCTACGGACGAGACGTCGAAGAGCGAATGGTGTCCACCGTTTCTATTTCGAAGACGGTATTACGGATTCCAATTACTTCATGACAGGGTAACATGCTAGAGAAGAGGAAATCTTCATTCACAGACTTTATATGTTACAAGCGCGCGTTAAATTGTCTTTCAATCGCGTCGCATAATTTCTATCAAAGAAAAAGCAAATATAAAAATCAAAGAAAAAGCAATTATTTTTTAATTTTTATTGAGAAATTTCAAATACTGCTTTTTAATAATTCTAGCGAAAACTTTGATGATAATTAATTTTTTAATTCGTTTCATTTTATTATGTATAATATTTTTTATCAATTATAAGCAATTATATTTTAATTTTCATTGAGAAATTTCAAATACTGCTTTTTAATAACTCTACCGAAAACTTTGATGATAATTAATTTTTTTAATTCGTTTCATTTTATTATATATAATATTTTTTATCAATTATAAGCAATTATATTTTAATTTTTATGAAGAAATTTCAAATATATAGAAATTTCAAATTTTAATTCATTTTATTTTATTATGTATAATATTTTTTTTCTGTTTTATGTAATAACTCAAGTAACTATAACTATAACTCAAGTAACTATAATTACAACTCAAGTAATGTTCTTTTACAGAATAACAATTTATTTCAAAAAAATATTAAATTGAATATATGTGATGTAACTATAACACATCGGGTATATCCAAATTTTCAAATACAATTGTTCGAAATGTATTATACATTGCTTTTTTAGTATTTCGTAAGTATTTTCTTATTATGGCACTTTTTATTGTATACGCAGGTAAAGATACACACACACACACACACACACACACACACACACACACACACACACATATATATATATATATATGGCGATGATATTTGCACGCGGCGTACACTCAATCCTCGTAGTTCGACAAGTTCTGCAAGAAAGTACTTCACAAGCTTCAAACGCGGTGAGTAGGGCACTTCTCTGGAAGCAATAAAATTTCTTCCAAAGTGCATTCGTGCATAAAGAGAAATTTGTCGACAATTCCTACTTCACCTCAACATCGTACGGTTCACAACAGTCTTATCTTGCAACAAGTTACCGCACCGCACTGTATCCGCAACATACCGTCTATAATGATTCAGTAAAATACTCGAGAGATGCATACGATTAATAAACGGCGTAAAATTACTAGCATATAAAACTATATCCCTCTTGCGTGAATGAGGTATCGCATGACAAAACGCAAACTTCTATTTTACTGGGCTCGAAATAATATGGGAATATTTCCATCTGACTGTAGATTTGAATTATAATGATTTATGGCGAGTTGGCAAAATGGTTAATTTAACTTAATCATTATTTTAAATATATTCCTGCAATTACAAGATTTTGCTAACTTTTTATATCTATTTAAAGTTCCTTTTTTTCAAACTTTTTTTAAATTCTCATGTAAAAAGTAGGACATTTTAACCAAAGTAATCTCTCCTGTAACTCTGTTCTTTTTAATATTTTAGCATTTTTTATTTTAACATAATATTTTAACATTTATCTTTATGATAATTTCGCTTAATGATAGTATAAACAAAAAAACACAAATGATATATAGAATAAAAATTTTTAGTTAAAAAATATAACTGACTGATTATATACAACTTTATTGTGTATTATAAACACACAGAATGTCTCGTCTTTGTTATAGAAACAAACCATTTTTTTATTTTTAATTTAGCCTCTAATGATAATTTTAGGACGACAATTTTTGCAACATGTCGCACAAAGTATATCCTCGTCCATAATATAATTCTTTATGTACTGGTCCTTAAGCTCAAATGTATTATTCAGATAAATGCATGATATATATAGTATATGTATGTATATGCTATTAACGTACATCTATCCCTCAAACGAGGCATAAAGGATTACCGGCTTTGCATGTAAGTCTTATTCAACAGTCAGCCATGATAAGAGCTTTCGGATAAGAGCTTCATGTTAATTTGTTCTCTCTCATGCTTTTCGCATTAATATGTATTTCATATTATGCACATTTGCTTTATATAGAAACGTATGTTAATTAAATATAATTATAAGGCATACCGGGCAAGCTTTCATTTACAGATTCTTTCAGCTACATATATTTTGGATCAACTTTTACTTTTAGAAAAATTAGAAATATCTTTTCGATGTTCTTGAAATTAAACTTTAATTGTTTCGCAATTACATTATATTTACAATAAAAATATAAAAAATATTACTTAATAGTTAGCATAAAAAGATAGAATAAAGACACCTAAGATTTTAAAACAATCTTGCATATACTTATTATATATATGTCAGAGGAAAAAAATTATTGTTTCTTAAGTACGAATCTCTTATGGCAAAAATAAGTGATTAATTTCTCGAAAAGTTAACGCAAAATCTTCTCAATCATTGGAACAAACACGGGATGTTATTTCATTGGTATGGCAGAGTGCGGTGCGGTACAGAATCCGTCTGTCCGTGGCACGATTGTGTCCAGAAGAGTCGCTCGGGGCGTTCACGAAATTGCGCGACGTGGCGAGGTAGATAATAGCGCGATAGAAAACAGCTGATCCACTTTAAGCGTCCTTTTTGTCTTAAAGCGTCCACGGGTAAACAATAATTCACGCTTAAACGCCCTTTCAGCGCCGCTTTGCCCATTGTGCGCATCTCGCGCGTTCAGAGATTTATTTGTGCGAAACTTTTGTACAACCGTCCCCCCCCCTCTCCCCCTCCCCCTCCCGCTCCCGCTCCGCCGGTCTTCCTTGATAGCGCGGTTTTCGCTATTTTGCTGTAGGATCACGGCTTACAACGAGAAACAAAAGCCGCCGCCGCGAGGCTAAAACGGATGTCCTCGGAGTACCTGTGTATCCACGCAGGTATCCGCGTGCGCACAATTAACTTAGACTCGGCTACTGGATGACCCGGCGAGACGACAGCTATAAATTACGTGACGAAGTTAAGCCACAGGTTAATTACGTTCCACGCGCGCTCCGCGTTGTTATCTGCATTGCATAAAAAATAAGACAAATCCTCTCGCTCGTCCCTCCGTGGTGCACGCGGTACGTCCGCGGCGAAAAAGTTTTGTATTTATGTAGCAAGTTTGATGGGCCGGCCGCAAACTCAGTCGGGACAACGATTTGTGATGCCGCTCGACTTCTTACATTAATTATCGTCCGCTACAACTCCGGTGCTGCATCACTTTACGCGACTTGATTTAAGGAGATACACTTTTCGAAATTGCGCTCTTCATGTTTCATAAGGGCCTGCATATCGCAAAGTAATACAGTTCCCTCGCTGTTTCCGTCGTAGCAAACTTTGCACTCTACTCGTGGTTTTAGTCTTAACTTAATATAAAGGACATATAATTCTCAAATTTGTGCCAAGGATAATTCTCAAATGCCATCAACTCGCTTTACGTGCAATTGCGCTATAATTACTACAATGATATTGATGTTGCATGTTTTACTTCGTAAAAATGTATAAAAATAATAAAATATATATAAAATATATAAAATAGAAATAAAATATAGCATAATTAAAATATATAAAATGTAAAAATTTATAAAAAGCAAACAAAAACATGGAAATTAAACAAAGGCATGCAAAACGAGTTACTTTGAATGTAACTGAAATTTTATTTTGAAGCTAATAATTCGATAGTTTATTGCAATAATCGCATCCTTGCAAATTTGCATTATTAAATGCATTTTTTATCTCAAGAGTATAAAATAATAATAAATTAATAGTAGATATTAAAATTTGTATCTCATAGCTGTGCATGAATTTCCAATAAGGGAAATAAATTGCCATGCATAAAATATACGATCGCTAAGCATTGATTAATAAAGATGACGTACCACTTGAAACTAGATAATTTTTATTTCATATTTTAATATAAGTAATATCGTGTTTTTACGTTATCATATTTCAATATCGATTCATCGAGACCAATTGAAAATAAATTATATTGCATTTATCACGTATCTTACAAATAGCCAAGGCACAATATGGGTAATTCTGTTTTCATCGTTAATTATACTTCAACTGAAAGATAGCAATGCTTTCCCGGTGCAATGCGATTTATCGAAATTCGAACATTCGCATACGTTAATTAATGGCGTAAATTATTATTACGCGGAGCCTTTGAGCGAATTGTATAACTAAAGGCCAGGTTTAAGGCGATCCTAGACCTTGCAAATTAATACTGTCTGTGTGCCGCGTCGCGTGTTAAGCAGTCCACAGCTTTGTATCCTTTGTCAATACGATTCCTCCTTGGCTACCGCTCGCACATACCGCAGAATCCTGTAACGCTGTTGACCGAAGTGTAAATCGATATCTCGAGCCGTTCTTCAGATAGAGCGTACCGTTTCACGAGATTAGTCCGGCGCCGAATGTAAATCCCGAATACATTTGCGGGAAATGAGATCCTCCGTGGCCGCTATCTGCCAGCGTCCGGCCGCTTGCGTGCGGCTTGTCCAATTTATTTTTCGTGCCACTTAAAGCCCCCACATTTCGCACCAAGGACACGATCTGTGCTTTACCTCCAGAGAATGGCCACCTTCATCCGGCTGTAAATTATCACTTTCGCCCCTGTCTTCGAAGCGGCGCGCTTATCGCGTAGAGCCTCGCACCCGCCAACGAAAGTGCTGAAAGATTTCTCTATTTTACGGTTGAACGAACTAGGATTCGATACGAGAGATAGCTCGCGTGGACGATGAAGAGCGGGCGATCGGATGCCGCTGCTCTTTTTTCAAGTGCTCGACAATTAGCGTGATAAATCTCCCATGGATAGGAGCATCGAGCATCCTCACGTTTCGCATGAGTGCTGGTCACGAATGCTGCACATTCCAACTCGAAAATAATTTTCTGGGAAGGAGGACATTACTTTTGCCCTTGAATGCATGAAATTATCGCATTACGGTGGCGATTTTCAATGACGCGAGAGCCACATCATTAGATCCATATATGGCATGGGTACAGCCCTCGTCCAACATCTGCCAGTCGAAGATCACAATAATGTTCGCGAGAGAAGACTCGAATATCGCATTTGGTGTTTGCAGTTGACTGCCAGAGGATTGTTTGCGCGAAATTAGATCACGACGCGCGAACTTTCTAGTACAAAAGGGCCTTCTGCTGACTGTATGTATTCGGATCGACCTAGTAAACGTGAATTCATGTGAAGGATATTTACTTCCATATCATTTGTATTCAAACAGATTCCACAGGCTAAAGAAAAAAGTTCTTTAGATAATAAATAAATAATATATTATATATTTAGAATATATATAATATATAATATATTTAGAATATATATATTTATTATTTAGAAAAATATTTAGAAAAATTAATAGTTATAATTAATAATTCCGATGATATTTTTATATTAATTAATTTTTGATATTATATCTTCATATCAATATTTTTCAACATTTGCATGCATATATTGTTATGTTTCTTTATTACTCGCGAAGAAACTGGCAACAAAAATAAGAGAACTGATTAAAATTAGAATCAAAATATGCTTAATATTTTAATCATTTTTTCTGTCTTAACTTTTGTTCCAAAGTATAAAAAAATCAATTCTAACGGGTGTAAAATAACGTTCATTAACAACTGATTAATGATACGATGAAGAAGTCTGAGTAATATAACCGTCTTATACCATCTTATCCTGGATAAACCCGCGTCTTGGTTTAAGAGCTAATTAAGGTAGTACTCTTTCCTGTGGGTAATGGATTTATGATTAATCTCACCTTTCTTTTCTGTGACAGATCATCCATTAGATTACATAAATTCATCTTTGTTATCATCAATTTGCGCACTACTTTTACCTTAGAAACGTAAGTCACAAAGAATTATTAAAGTTACCGGGTTAGTCGGCCAATCTCCTGAAAACTTTTTTTATCTCTAAACGTATTTATTCAAGCATTAAGCTGCAACCTTTTCCAAAACTCGCCTCATTATCCGGAGGGATCGTTTATTAAAAACATCAATATTCGGAGATAAAGAGTTTTCTATGCCGGTGAAGATCGTTTAGGACGAAGCAAGCGAGGGGAGAATCTGTTCTTCCGTGGAAGGATCTTATCGATTTAATTAACCTTACGCAGTTATACGACGACGCAACGAACCGTCTGTTAGACGGAGGGTAGTTTTTATTCAATCTTGGCCATTATGGCATCGTTGATGCCCGGTACGAACCAAGCCGCGGTATTACAGGCGTCATATTTTGCGTGGCGGTCCATTGTGCAGCCGCATACGATGCGCAACAGAATATACATATGAATGATCATGCAGATTCGCCGTTTGTTTTATTATCTTGGAACGCTCGTAAGTATATTTGCATTATGCAACGACTAATAGGGATAATGGGCAACGTGATTACCGCTTTCTCTCCCTTTCCCTCACTCTCTCCCTCTCTTTTTCCTTCTCTCTTTCTCTAGTACTGTACATTACTTTCAGCTCATATCTTCTACGCTTCTATTATGACTTACAAGAACGAATGTACCGCGTTAATATTATGCACCCTGATATGTCAGTTGCGTAAAAAAATAGCTGCTTATTTTTTTTTGTTCGTCTTAAAAAGGTTTATGTTTGTTGCACCTGCGGGAGACTATGGATTTTGGGATTACTGAGCGAGATCTCGATTGTCAGTAAATATACGCAGATGAGATTCAGAATTGGTTTGCATAAGTTAGTTTAATTAAAGTATCTTAAAATCGTTCCGTGGAAATTTGGATCGAATCATTACACTTTTGATTCTTTCTTTCAACTAAAAAAAACAATTTCTGAAATATTATTTTGCACAAAATAGTAGTAGTTAATTATTTAATATTTAATAGATTTATTCATACGCAACACACAAATGCACACATACACATACACATATATATACGATATATATTATTTTTCAATCGTTATTAGTGTTTCACGAAAAATACCCGCTTTTCGTTTTACAATATTAATCAATAGAATAACGTTTACTTACATGCTTTGCTGCGCAAATCCCAGATTTTTAACGTGCGATCATAACTTCCCGTAACTACTTTTGACGGCTCGCCAAGAAACTTCGCCGCCATCACCTTTGCGCAGTGGCCCGTGAGCGTGTGCTGAAACAGAAATACAAAGATTCGTTCATGTGAATTTATCTTGAGTGGCATAAGCGAAATACGGGTATAAATATAATAACATATTCATAAAATCAAAAATATTTTTCCCTTATTAGTTGTGTAACTTTATATATATTTTCGATTAGGAAAACAAAATATTCAAAAATTCTTTTTTAAAGAATTTATATATATATATATATAAATTTATTTTATCATTTATACTCTCTTTCTCTTGTTAATATTTAACAATAGAATAATATATAACATACATATAAATATTGTTTCATTTATTTCTGGTATATATGATTGTATATTTTAAGTATCAGATTTAAATTTAAAAAAAATATTCAAATATATTTTGCGAAATTATTTCTATTTTTTATTTATTTTATAATTTATAAATATTTTAATTTTTATTTGAATATGTTTGCATGAAGTATGTATTAAAATAAATTATTTGCTTTGCAATATTTACACTAACACATACATACATACACACAAAACAAGTTATGATAAATAATTAAATTATATTGTGTGTGTGTGTGTGTGTGTGTGTGTGTGTGTGTATAAACTTCTCTCAATGAATTTGCTTAGTTATAAACTATTTTGTTTAAATACAATTTAGGAGCGCCGGAGTCATTGGCACTTCGCAAGTTAAGTTCTGAACTTTAAACAGGGACTTATTAGATCGAGCACTGGCTTTCATAAGTTGATTTTCTCTTTTCTACTTTCGAGTTCAACTCTACTCCGAGCATTCGACGTGTTCGAAATGAGAAATGAATGTAGCTGCAAGGGGCGGAAACAGACGTATAAAGCGCGCATTTCCAGTGGAATAGTACGTCATTCTTTAACGGGGTAACACAAGAAAAGAGTTCGATTTCATTATTACCATCATATTGAGTTGAGCAAGAAAACTCGATTTGTGCCGTAAAGTTTCCTTTTTTATTTTCAATATGCGCTGATGAACATTCGATGTGTACGCGCGAAAACTACAAATTTATCAAAAATTACATCAGCAGAGGCTTACGCGCATCTGTACATAACTGTCGTATTTCATGTATAATACAAATATTACGGCTGAAAATATTGCCAGATAGCCGGTAGATATTTGTGTTGTCGTTGACATGATGTCAGCGACAGTTATTCCATTTCTATTTCGATGTCTACGCGAACAAACATTAAACCCGTACGTTGACGTCCATGGCGGCGCATTTTATGAGCAATTTTTTTTCGATCGCGAGCTGTGCCGCCGATATTCTAGGGTTCTCTTACCGAACTTTTTGAAAACGATACACGTTCAATGGTTCCATTTTTTATGGTATACAATTTTAAAATCATAAAAACTTCCATTTCGAAAACTATTTTTTATGTTCTCTCTCTCTCTCTCTCTCTGTTCGTACATCATGCAAAATAAACATTTCTCTTTTTTCTTTAGTAGCATACTAACTGTAGAAACTAATTATATATTATTATAGTCATAACAAAAATGTCAGAATATTCGTAATATCATAAAAATTAATTCCTGTTATTTTAAAATTAATTACATTATTTATATTTTTCGACCATTATTTATAGATAAGGAATTTGCAAGTAGATATCAAATATTTGTCACTTTATGAATGGATAAATTTTTAAAATGACAACAACAAGTATCCTGCATTATTATGTATCCTATTCGCATTAAAAGATCATTAATGAAATTTCAAATATATACATAGTTCTTATGCTCGAAGATTTAATGACTTTGTGATCAAGATTTTAATGATCGAAAAAATCTAAAATGAGCGGTAAACGTTCACGCTAACAGTTTGTTTCACGAGTCAATAAATCATTTAAGGACGTTCGATGTGTATTCGTTGTTTCGATGTCGACGCAATGGAGTCGCGCGAGCGAAATTACCTAGGCGTGTAATGAAATTATCAAGTGATATATGCAGCACTTACACGGTTATGTAAACACGTTGTGTTAAAAACGCCGATATCGATGGGCCGCTTTACATATCAATCAAGCCGTGCACAACGGACCCGTCACGAACGTGATTTAATGACTGCCAGCGCCTTTAGCTCGCGCGCGTCGTCGTTAAATGAAATTCTGAAGTTATCTCATATATACGCTCCGTTCGTCCCTTCGTTCTTCCGTCGCATCGTCGTTTAATGGTAAAGAATTCAAGCGTGATGTCGACAAGGGGTGTGGGGAAACGACTCGAGGGCTCCTGTGTAAGAGAGGAGAACCGTTAAAAAGAGGAGTTCGCCAATTTTAAGGTGCGCAACGCCAGGAGCTAGCACGCTCTTGAAAAATGTCCTAATGTAAATTAATGGCCCGGAAGTTTAGCTGGAAAGGCTATAACGTGAAAGAAACAGGTAGGGGTGGAACCCTCCTGCCCCTATCCTTATACACAAGCGAAAGAACTTTACTCTTTTGCGCAAAGACGTCAGAAGTGGAAGAGACCACCAACGAAAGTGCACTATAATGTAAAGACTTTGCCGAAAGTGCACCGAGTCTACATTTTTTCACGCGAAATGTTAAACAGTTGAATGGACTTTGCTTTCAATCGTCTTGTCTCGACAAGAATATATGGCATTAATACCATGAGAATAAGGGAAGATATGTTTTTAAAATGATAAAATAAAATCTATCTAAAATTATGGGGATATTCCATTATTCGGAAACTAAATATATTACTAATATATCAAGTATTTAAGAATATTATGTTATAAAAATAATATATGCAAAGAAAATTTTTAATTTCAATGTCACCATAAGATTCTCCTCTTTTCTGGAATTCTTCATTTCTATAAAACACTTTATTAATAAATACGAATAATTGCTATTTTTGGGAAGAGTTCATAATCTTCTTCTACATTATAAAGTTCCGTTATGTTAATATACAAATTTACTTTCAAGATTTTTACGCTACACGCAACTTTTTATGAGTGAACTTCTAAAAAAGAGGTACAATTTATTGTATACTTCTCCGAGCACACTCGTAATCTTTTACAACTGTGCTCTTTCTTGCCCTCTTCATACATTAAATACAAACTTTTTCTACATTTTGTAATTTTTAAACTCTTATATTATGTGTAAGTTAGTCGCCAAAAATGTAAATTTTTGTTTAATATAAAACAAGAATTGCCATTGTTTTTTATTCTCCCATATTTTACAGCTGTTAAAAAATAATAGTTCTCTCGAATTTAATATAATTAACAACAGTTAAATACTAACGTACATTAATAATATAAAATTGATTTTTTTAATCAAAATTTCATAGAAAATAAATCAGAAAAATTATTAAATATATATTAAAAAGAATTATAATTAGTTTAAAAATATAATATTTAAAAATTAAAAATTCCGTATAATAAATATATACATAACAAAAATAATTTAAATATATAGTTTAATATAATAGTTTATATTAAAATTTTAATAATTTTGATTTATGTGATAATATTTAAAATTGAGATTATCCATGAAAAATATCATGATGAATCGTAAAAAAATAAAACATAAATATATTTCAAGATTCGTAATAATACAGAAACCTATTATTAAATCTGTAATAAATGCATGAGTAAAAACTTTTTCTGCAATTATATTTGAGAAAGGAACAAAACTTATTCGGACGTTCAATAATTTTGATTAACAACTCAGTAATTTAACTTTATATGCGAACAGAGATAATTTGAGTCACACACAGCAGGACAAACACGAAGGATACAGCTGGAGGCGCAGTTGGAAGTTTATTAACGTGAATATTCACCATAATTCAGTAATCTCGCGTATGAATTATATTTTTTTGGCAACAAATTCGAACAATTGTGACAAATCTTATGTAAAATTATTTAATAATATATTTACAATAATGCACGATATATATATATATATATATATATATATATATATATATAACGATCGAATCGTAAATATAAATATATATTTAACATAATAAAAGTGATCCTTCAATAAATAATCATATAATTAATCTATATCATTTAAAATCTAAATTTCTATACTTTAAAATATTTCGCGTATATATTTGTCAAAATACATGAAATATTTCGAACAGACAATAACACGTAATAATACGTAAAATATTTCGAACAGACAATAACACAATGTTTAGCCTTGATGACGTATACAATAGCGCGCTAATATTTACATTCCGCGGTCTTGGTATCATTCACACGGCGACACTCGAGCAAGATAGTGGTGCGAAACGATACTCTTCATATATTATCGAATTTATTATTAATTGAACGATTATCATGATTTTCGATTAGATTAATCTTTCGATTTTATAATTTCGCGTATATATCTGTCAAAGTATGTAAAATATTTCGATCAGACAATAACAGTGTTTAGCCTTGATGACGTATACAATAGCGCGCTAATATTTACATTCCGCGGTCTTGGTATCATTCACACGGCGACACTCGAGCAAGATAGTGGTGCGAAACGATACTCTTCATATATTATCGAATTTATTATTAATTGAACGATTATCATGATTTTCGATTAGATTAATCTTTCGATTTTATAATTTCGCGTATATATCTGTCAAAGTACGTAAAATATTTCGATCAGACAATAACAGTGTTTAGCCTTGATGACGTATACAATAGCGCGCTAATGTTTACATTCCGCGGTCTTGGTATCATTCACACGCCGACACTCGAGCAAGATAGTGGTGCGAAACGATACTCTTCATATATTATCGAATTTATTATTAATTGAACGATTATCATGATTTTCGATTAGATTAATCTTTCGATTTTATAATTTCGCGTATATATTTGTCAAAGTACGTAAAATATTTCGATCAGACAATAACACAGTATTTGGCCTCGATGACGTATACAATAGCGCGCTAGTATTTACATTCCGCGGTCTTGGTATCATTCACACGGCGACACTCGAACAAGATAGTGGTGCGATACTCTTCATATATTATCGAATTTACTATTAATTGAACGATTATCATGATTTTCGATTAGATTAAT